ATCTGGAGAAACAAGACCTTTGAATTATATTGTTCAAATACTCTGAGGAGTCATGCACAGTGTTTACAAAAAAAAGGGAAAAGAGAAATCTGGAAAATGATTCTGTGAAATTACAAAAGTAAGAGTGGGCTTCAAAATGCCAAGCAGCATTTGGAAATAGGGAAATAGGGAAATAGCACATGAAAAAAAAAAGACCAAAATGAAGGGAGGGGGAGGGGAGGAAAGAGAAGAGGGCAGAAATGATGATTTGACATTTAAGTGGCTATAAAAAAAGATAAAAGGACTGAGAAAACTTGGAATTTTTTTGCTGTGACTGTCTCAGCTCTTAGAGAATTGCAGATCCAAAGCAATCTTTAGAAGTTATTTAGTCTACCCTAGCCATCTCTTCAAAGAAAGAAGAAAACTGAGCCTCAGAAGTAAAGTGATTTACCCAAGTCCACACAGATAGTAAGTGTCAGAGGCAGGATTTGAACCAAGGTCCTGTGACTCCAAACTCAGAGTGCCTTTCTACTCTACCACACTGACTCATGTGGAAGAGCTAGGATTCAAATTTAGGTCACAAGACTCCAAATTCAGAGCTCTAGTTCTCACTTTTTAACCCCCTCCAATAGCACTTCCAGAATTATTGATTTTAGCTCACCTTTAAAAGGTGGAAAATTTTTCTCTATATATGTGTGTGTGTGTGTATAAAATAATAATAATAATAATAATAATTTCTATAATACTTTAAGGTTAGCAAAGCATTTTGCTATTACTATCTTATTTAATTTTCACAACAACTCTAGAAGAGAGATGTCATTATTTTTCCCATTTACAAATGAGGAAACTGAAGCAGAGAGAGGTTAAAGGATTTGCCCAGGGTCACACAGCTAGTGTCTGACACCAGATTTGAACCTCATTCCAAAGCCAGTGCTCTATCCACTGTGACACTTAGCTACCCTGAAAGACTGTCTTCCCAGACCTGCCTTGAACACATATTAGCTATGTCTCCTGAGATAACTCAATGAGATTCTTAAGTCATGCATCAGTTACTGATATACATTAGTAAAGGGAATGTATCAGACTGATGAAATTATAGGTCCAGACCAGAAAAGAAACAAAAAGGATATCTTTGATTTGGAAAGGACTAGAGAGATCATCTAATATAATATTCCACCTAAAACATCAAATCTCTATCTGAAGACCTTAAGTGATGGGGAACTCATCTCACAGGACAGCCCATTCCATTTCAAAACAGCATCAGTTGTTGGAAAGTTGTTCCTTATATTGAGATGAAACCCAGATCCCTTCTAGAATCATCAATTTGGAGCTGAGAAACCTAATCCTATTCCCCCACTTTACAGAAAAGGAAACTGAGACCCAGAGAAATTAAGTGACTTGTCCAAGTTAACATTGATAAACAAATGACAGAGGCAGGATTTGAACTGAGGTTCTCTGATTCCAATGTCTGTTGGTCCTAGCTCTGCTCTAGGTACCCACACAAAATACGTCTAATTTCTCTTCCATATTTCAGCCCTTCAAATGTTTAAAAATAGCTATTATGTTCTCCCTAAGTCTTTTCGTCCCCGAGTCAACATATGTGATCACTGATGGATTTTATCTTGTTTTCTGAGTTTGTAGACACCTCAGGATACATTGTTTTCTACTCCAGATTTACCATACTCAATTTCCCTTGAAGTTACTCTCAATTGTTCCTACCCTCCCCTTCCCTCCAAAAATATAGAAAGATCTCAAGTGATTTCATAAAAAAGCAGAAATGTGCTCTGTTACAAATTTAAACAATATCTTTGCAATAACTTTGCTGTATTAATACATTTATTGGTGCTAATACAAATATTGGAGATGTGATTTGGAGCCTAACAGTAGTCAGGATTATTTGTTGTATATTATCTGTGCACTAAAGGTTTATAATCAATTTTTCTAGGTAAGCAAAACAGCAATTAGATTATATAGTGGTATACAAATACTCAGCAGGTATTAGAATGTACATGGTGAGGTGGCTGGTAAATAATAGTAATTCCCTACTTAAAGGATTTTGTAAATTTTCATGAGAAAAAAAAATAACCCAGGAAATGGGAATTTTTTCCCCAGAGAGTGGATGGAAGAATTAAAGGTTTTAGGTATTTGTTCCCTGCTGACTCGATAATGAAATTATAGTCCATTCCCTCCTCCCGCCCCATACACACAAAGGAAGTCTTGATAATGTTGTTTAAGAGACTCTTAATATTGGGGAAAATAGATGATGTCATTGACTCAGACCTTTTAAAAATGTTTAAGGAACACAGAAAAATGTTAAACAATCAATCCCTTTGTTATTTCCAGGTAGTTTGAATGGAGAAGGTGGCCTCTAAATAATCAAATCACTAATTTATTCTGTTTCCCATACCAAATTGAAGGAAAAGAATGAGCAGCAAAATAAGAGATGGGGGAATTAGAAAGGGGAAATTTAGATTAATTCTTCTGGTGAGACAGAAGAAACCATAGCTGGTAGAAACATAGGATAGTTGCTTAGGTAAAATGACTGAGCAGATAACCAATTCATTGAATGTAAACATTGAGATTATGTTTACCTGATATCACACATCTCTATAAAAGCTTAAAGAAAAATCAGTCATTTCTGAATGTTTCCAGTCATTAAGGTAGTTAAGAGATCTTTTAGGTTTCTGCCTTAGAAGCATGAACATTTTATGATTTCTGATCTATGTTGACTTGACATAAAAATTATGCACATCTACAATAGCAAAGTTTTTCCATTTTTCTTCAAAATGTCTGGCATTAGGCTAGCCTCATTTGAATGTTTCCTTCTCCAAAATGTTGATTAAATAAACCTGGTTATAATTCTTTTTTAACTTCAATAATTCAGAGCTGAAATCTGAATATATCCTCACTCTTTCCTGAACTACATTTAGACCATAGAGCTGGAAGACACCTCAGTGACCATCAAGTCCAATCCCCTCATTTTACAGATGAGGTGACTGAGGCCCAGAGAGGTTAAGTATGTTGTTGAAAGTCACACATGGAGTGAGTACCAGAGGTGAGATTTGAGCAATGGAGGCAATAGACGATGGTTTTGCAGTCATGGATGGCCATGAAAGAGATGTGGATTTACTTAGCATCCTGTATAAAAGCATTTTATCTATATGAACCAGTTTTTTTCCTCTTTTTCTTTTTGGAGGGATGAGTAATTGAATTTAGTCAAACAACTGATTATTTTGAAAACTATTAGGTTTGAGTGGGTATTTAGCATGTGGAAGATATATGAAATGGAGTTAACCTTAGATTTGCCCAAGGTCCTTTAAGCTCATTAAGCTTCCACCAGAAAGCAGCAACAGAGAAAAAGAAAAGAAAAAACAAATTTCTAGTAGTCTAAATAATGAATAGATTTTTTTAACCTATAGACTAAAATTGCTCAATTCTTTTCAAACCTAAAATACAGTGTTTGTCAAGGAAAGATTTCTGCTCTGTTTGGGAGTAATTTATTGGAAAATGAGCAAAAACACCCCCAACCCACTGAGCATAATATCGATTGCTTGCTGTCTTTACATGTTGTTATTGGTGACAGACAGATGGACAGCAAAATGATAACTTTGTAGCCAAAAGCTAGCTTATCGGTCTGAGCCATTCTTTAGACAAGAAGATCAATCTATCAACCAGTAAGTATTTATTGAGTCCCTCCTCTGTGTCCAGTGCAAAATCTTCTAGAAACATTTCCATGGCCATCACGTTTGTTCTATAAGTGAGTGGGTGTGGACCTTGGCCCTCATCCTTTGTACTGCTTCTTCGCATCTTAATTCTATGTGGTCAGTGAAGCAAGGATGAGAGAAAGTGAAGCAGAGAAGTTGGCTGTGGGAAGTTGTGAATGGATTACCATTTTACTTTGAGTAAGGGGTTCTTGGGGAAGCTAGGTGGTGTGGTGAGTAGATTGCTGTGCCTAGAGTCAGAAAGATCCATTTTTTCTGAGTTCAAATCCAGCCTCAGAAACTTATTAGCTGTGTGACCCTGGACAAATCACTTAACCCTGTTTGCCTCAGTTTCCATATTTGTAAAATGAACTGGAGAAGGAAATGGCAAACCACTGTAGTATCTTTGCCAAGAAAACCCCAAATGGGGTCATGAAGAGTCGGACACAACTAAACAATAGCAAAGGAGTTCTGAATGTTTTTTTTTTTTTTGCATGTCATAGACCCAAGGAAACTAAGTGGCTCAGTGCCTAAAGTGCTGGGCTTGGAGTCAGAAAGATCTGAGTTTTAATCCTGCCTCAGACATTTACTAGCTTTGTGATCCTGGGCAAGTTACTTAACCTCTCTGTGCCTCATTTTCCTCATCTGTAAAATGGGGATAATAATTGTACCTACTTCTCAGAGTTATTTGAAGGTCAAATAAAATAACATATATAAAGCACTTTGCAAAAATTAAGGCTATATATAAATGCTAGCTGTTGTTGTTGTTGTTGTTATTATTATTGACTATTTGGGGAGCCTAATGAAGCTTACGGACTCCTCAGAATATTTTTAAATCCATAAAACAGAATATATAGTGTTACAAAGAAAAACAATTAAAGTGAAATAGTTATCAAAATATTTTTTTCAAAAGAAAGTTTATTGACACCAGATTAAAATCCTACCACCCTCATTTCTAAACAATCAGAAACATGAGTAGATGGAACAAATGTCATGAAAGATATGTGTCTGCTGAGGCAAAAAGCCCTGAAAAAGGAAATGGACAGGCTTATGTATCATCTCAAATGGAGCCCTAAGGAACTGAGTAGGTAATGATAAATAGTTCTAGGCCATCCTAAAGGGAAACAACTCTTTGAATCATTAAAAAAAAAAACAAAAAACATTTAGTCCTTGCCCATCTAGCTGCGGTTTGTGGTTTTTCGTGGGAGCAACGACATTTTTAGTTTATGGTTCATCAGTGTTGTTTCAATGATTGAATTATCCCATTTGCTATCCGTTCACTAATCTTCCCCTTAACATTTTTTCTCTTTCTTCCTCTAGATTCATGATCAATGTGACATGGGAAGGCAAAGACTTGTCTTTCACAGAAGCAGGGTACCAAGTGCACCCCAGGTTAGTGGTGATTGTGCTGAACAAGGACCGGGAGTGGGAAAAGGTAAGCATTTCTCTTTCTCAGTGTTTGTCTGTCTCAACAACTCCTTGGCTGGAATAAAAAGACAGACCATGAAGAGCTCAGGTGCCTACTTGTCTAAATTTTTTTTTTTTTGGTTTAAGCTGCTATAAGTATGGAGTCATATAATGTCAAAGCTAGAATAGTTCATCTAATCTTTCACTTAGAAAGTGAAGAAACAGGCTCAAGTGTGTTGAGTCATTTGCCCAAAGTTTTGACTTATACCTTCAGATATACCCACTGCTAATCACCCTTCAATGCTGGGTTGACAAAGAGTTTGTGAGGGCCTGGCGTGTGACCTTTTCCAGAGTGAGGTAGGTTGAGCTTTGCCAAAATGTCCTCATCAGATCTTGATTTGATGCACTGTGGTAGTTTTAGGCTAGTAGGTTAGGACATTACTGCTTTTCTCCTAACTCAATGATTCCAATTCTCCTTTCTGCTTATGTTATATACCCATCTCTTTAGGGTTTCTAGGATGATGTCTAGTGGTTTGCCAATCAATATCCTAGTGGATTAAAAAAAGGAAAGCACATATCATTTTGTACCTAATTTACCATGCAGTTTTATATCACCTTGTACCTAATTTATACCCAACAGCTTGAGTAGTAGATAATGATGGATTTGAAGTTCAGAGAGACTTAGGTTCTAATTACATTTCTTTACACTTCATGATTGTGTTTAATGACTTAACCTTTCTTACTTTTAGGATGCTCATGTATGTAATATATTTTGTAGAGTATTAAACATGGAATAAATGTCATTGAGGATTATTATTTATAAAATATAAATAAGGTGGTTATTTAGTATTGAATGTTCAATCCATTTGATCAATAATTCTCTCTCTTAAAACACGTTTAGAGATTAGTTTCTGGCTGAGCCCTTTCTCTATTTCTACTTCCTGAACCTCTTCAAAGGAATAATTCTGACTGATCCAGCTTCTGACTTTCCTGGTCCTGAAACCATAGTTTTGTGACCGCTTTGAGAATAACTTTGGGAACTGGGCTCAATTCATGTTTTGTTTTTCTTCAGATGCCTTGAGTAGGGGTTCAAGAATGTGTAAGAATTAAAACTAAGAATTTCTTCTTGGGAGGAAATATGAGGAAGAGGTAGCATTATATAGTGGATGGAATATTGGTTTTGGATTCTGGGTTCTTGAGTTCAGTTGGTTCTGATACATACTACCTATATGGCCTTGGGCATGTCATCTAATTTTCCTGTGCCTCAACTTTCCTCATCTGTAAAATGTGGTTATTGAATTAAATTCAACAATCTGTATTAAACACTTACTATGTACTTAACATCGTCCTAGGCCCTGGAATATAAAGATAAAAAACAAAAAACAAAACTGTCACTGCCCTCAGAGACTATGCTTGGGGGGATGGGAGAGAAAAGGAAAGGGAAGATTATAGAGGAAGTAAAACATAATACAAGTTAGTATACATAAAATAAAGGCAAAATCCATACAAAGTAATTTCGGGCAGTTGAAAGGAAAGCTCTAATAATGGAGGGGATTAGCAATAGTTTTGGCCCTGTCCAGTTTTAAATCTAGAATTCTATTGATTTCATGTTTTCTTGCTTTTCTGCGGGAAGCATAATATTCTGAGAGCCAGGAGCAAAAGCTTTTCTGTAGGTTGGATTTAATCAGGCCCCGATTGGGTCCAGTTCGAATATGTGAATATGTGTGGTTATGTTTGGAATTAGTTAGAATGTTGGAGGGGGGTGTAGTTTGCAGAAGACTGTGGAAATGTTACTGAAGGAAAGCCTGCCTCTTGTATTGTTTCCAAGTGTAGAAAATGGTTCTTAATATTTTTTATGTCATTCTTTAAATTTCTCTTGAAATGAAACAATTTCCTTAAAAAATGACTGGGGAATGGCTTCTGAGTTGAGGTTGGAATGGTAAATGATGTAGGTCTATTCTACTGGTGCACGAGAGACTTGGCCCTTCTGAAATGCCTCTGTTGCACATTTGTCTCAGAGGGAAAGAAAGGCAGTGAAGCAGGTAAATGGCAGTCATGTTATTCTGAATCCTCCTTTACCACACCTCTCCCCCCCGTAACCCTTCACTATGGTACAGTGGGTCAGAGAATAAATGCCAAGGAGAAATCACAGTGATTCAGCCACACAGGGAATTTCTTTTCATTTTAGAGTTCGCACAGTGGCTTTGCCAGTGATGCTGAATCTGCCCGAGGGCTTGGGGCTTTGCAACATGTAATGAGAGCATCTCAGAAAACATGACAGGCCCACAGAGAGACCGTGGCTTCCTGCTGGGTCTTTGTACAGGCTTGGCATGGGAATGCCAGCACCACGCACCAAGCTGTTCTGCAAATGAAACGTTCTGTGCAGAGCAGGAGTTCTCTTGCAATCAGGGCATTTGTAGCAATCATCTGTTTTTTATATTATTATTATTTTGGTCATTCAACTGCATTGGGAATGTAGGATCCTAATCTGGTGCATGCCTCTGTGGACCTCTATAGAGGCCCAGGAGCTGATTAGGAATATAGATCATAAGTTAATAAGGTCGTAGATTTAGAGATATTAGGGAATTTAAAAGGTTTCTAGTCCAACACCATCATTTTTCAGATAAGGAAACTGAGGCCCAGAGAGGTTTTAAGTGACTTGCCCAAATTCATATAGCTAGTAAATGTCACAACTGGGATTCAAGTATTTATTAAGCGCCTGCTTTCTGCCTGGCACTGTGTTAAGTGCCAAGGACATATATACAAAATATGAAATAATACTTCTTTCTCACCTTCTAATGAAGGCAATAACATATATGTATACTATTACATACAGAATAAAACAAAATGTGACCAAAAGTCACTTAAATGCAAGGGAATTAGGGAGGATGCTAGCAGTTGTGGGGGGGGAGTGGGATTGGGTGTGCAGATGTTACTTGAGCTACTAGATGGTAGCAAAAATTCTTCCAGGGAAAGCATCATTTTCCAAGCCAACACACAGTCTCAGATGTCCGAGTTCCGTATTCTGATTCTTGAGCTACTAGATGATAGCAAAAATTCTTCCAGGGAAAGCATCATTTTCCAAGCCAACACTCAGTCTCAGATGTCCAAGTTCCATATTCTGATTACATTGCAAGAACAATAATAATATGAAGAAGATAGATGTGGTGCAGTGGTTTGTAGTTAAAGAAAATGGCTTTTTAAATCTTTGCTTTTGGGGAAAGGGGAAAGTCACTTAACTTTTCTGGGCCTCAGCTTCTTCATCTGTAAAATCAAAGAGTTGGATTTAATGATCTCTAAGGCCCTAACAACTTTATAGATTATGATTCAGATTGTGAATTAGTTATGTTAGCTTAGCCTCAGTTTCCCCGTAGAAGAAAGTTGTTGAACTAGGTTATTGAAAAAAACCTCCTTATTGGCCTCTATGCCCCAAATCTCTACTCGTTCCAGCCCCTTCTATAAAGTTCCACCAATGTAGTTTTCCTTAAGCACCTATAACAATATAAATATGTAATATATTTTACAAATATATTGGTTAATACATTATGTAATTATGTCATAGCATCATAGTTACATAGTATATTTAATAATAGCATCTACCTCCAATGGTACTTATGAGGATAAAATGAAATAATATTTATAAGGTCTTTTTGTAAGCCTTAAAACACTATGTAAATGCTAATGTAAGCATAGACCTAACTATGTGACTCTACTTCTCAACCAACTTCCTGTTGCCTCTAAGATGAAATATGAACTCCTCTGTTTAGTTTTTAAAGCCCTATCCAACCTATCTTTCCAGCCTCATTTGGACATCATGCTTCCTCCTATACTCTGTGATCTAACTAAATAGGCCTTCACTCTGCTTTTCATAAATAATATTCTATCTCCCATCTCCATGCTATTACACTGGCAGTCTCTCATGCCTAGGATGCACTCACTCCACATCCCCACCTCACAGAAGCTCCTTCTTTCTTTAGGATGCAGCTCAGGCACCCTCTTCTGCATGAATCCTTTCCTGGTTCCTCTATGCCTCACCAACTCCTAGTGTCCTCCCTTTCATATTATTTTGTATTTAATTACTTTGTATATATTTGTATTTATTAACTTCACTTTTATATTGTATGTATTTCTTATATACCACATATATACTTGCTGTCTCTCTCATTAGAATGTAATCTCACTGTAAGGATTGTTTCATTCTTTGTACTTGTTTCTCCAGCATTTAGCATAGCCTGGCACACAGTGGGTGCTCAATTAATACTTGTTATCTGGTAGACTGATTGATCAATGACTTTCGAGGTCTCTAGCCTATGACTCCTGGAAGTCTATGATAATCATGGAACTGGTTTACATTTATGTGGTGTGGCACAGATACAAAGCACTGTTATAGGTTTCTTGTGATACAGGTGATCTTCATGGCAGCCCTGATGTAGAGATAGAAGATATTAATACTCAACAAGGCCACGTGAAGCTTTTGAAGAGATGTTCTGGTTAAATGCTAGAGGACATCTAATAGTGCACTTGTGTCTTTCTCATTTTGAATGAAAACCACCTTAGGAGGTGGAAGAGTCAAGAGTACTTTTACCCAGCTCTTCCAACTCTCAAGGGACACTGGATCTGGAGTCAGAAGAGACTTGGAATCATACCTGGTGGATTGTAGTTGTTAAATGAGTAAGTGTAAATCTGCCGCCATTTTGGTACGTAGTCAACAAGAATTTATTAAGCACTTACTATGGAACAGTTAGTGTTCCTTAGCTCTGGGACTGGGTATACAAAGAAAGGTTCAAAACATGATTTCTGCCCTCAAGGAGCTCACAGTCTAGTGGGAGAGAAAGGCTGCAAATAACTATATACCTCTAAGATCTCTCTCTCTCTCTCTCTCTGTCTTTGTCTCTGTCTCTGTCTCTCTCAGTTAGGACTTTTCTATAATGAATGGAGCTTGAAAGGTAGTTTATTTGGAGGGAGTAATAAGTACATGATTATGTTAGACCAGATCCTATTAAATGAAGAAACTATTCCTATTGTTTG